AATTATTTCTCATTCTTTATACTGTCTGACATCTGGAATTGATGGTCTCTGCAATCTCTCTTTGATATTTATTGTTTCAAACACATTGAAAAAGGATGGAATTAGTTTTTTATTGGCAAAAATGTTTTTCTTTGTCAACTTTTTTTGGTTTTACTTTCATAACCTGGGAAATAGTAAGTAGATCTGATCTGTCTATCCATGTTTGATAATAGAGATGAATATTTTTAATACTTCCTTTCACAGTTCCCTGTGTCATCTTGAAAGGTAGCCATGCCTTTGCATAAAAGCTAGATGAACGGTTAGCTTGCAATGATAGAGACCTTTTGAAAACATTGGACAATTATTCACATGTCTTTATCATTGCAAGCTAACCGTTCATCTAGCTTTGATGCAAAGGCATGGCTACCTTTCAGGATTGGGCAGGGAACTGTGATAAGGACTATTGGAGATTGCACGGAGTATCTAATAGAGGACAAAATTACTTTAACTACATGAKGATACTTTTAAGGGAAACAGGACAATACATTACAAAATCTAATGGTTGATTTATTTATGCAATGAGATGGTAGGTTCACTGATATCATGCAGTTCCAGGGGGAGTTCAGGCCTTTAGGCAGCCTTAGAATTGGGGCGGTTCGTTTTCTTCATGTCGGGGACCTCATGAATGACCTCATTGCGCAGCAGGCTATCTGCGAACCAAAGAAAGAAAAAAAAAAGAGAAGAGGAAAACGTTTTAAATTTTTGATTAGCAAATAAGTGATGTGAAAGTATATTAATTCAAATACCATGTGGACACGGGACCTTTTCCGTGTGTGGGGGGGTTTGTCTGAACCCCCCGAACCCCCTTGGCTATGGGCCTGGAGTTGATAGATAGTGGCGTAAGAGCAGAGATGTGTGTACATGCAGTTGTCCATCAGTACAATCCATGCATGGAGCAAATCATTCAGTCACACAGCTTTCATGCTATCCCAACATAAAGCATAAATTTTAAATTTTGCAAATGTACAGTATGTAACTTTTCTTCTCCGGYCAATATGCATAAACCTGCCTTGTCAGGTTGGCTATCAATACCTTCACCACTTGGAGGGAGGAGGGGGGAGGGAGGGGCTGTYTAACAGCCATAAGCTTACTAAATGAATTTAATATTATTGCCCTAACTTGGATCATGTTCTGTTCTTTCAGTGAATCACTAAAATAGAGGACTGTGACAAGGAGTGGTCATTGTTTCACCTTGACAACAGAACATCAATCTGGCAAGTATTTTACTTTACTTTTGTGCTAAGCGTTGTGGGAGTGCATAGCAAGTGTTGGGAAAGAAGGTTTATATTAGCCTCAGTACACAGGGGAGTAGAGTGCACTCTAATAGCTTGGATGGGATTTCAATTGATT